GGGAAGGGGGTCCCTCAGCCTGGCCTGCGCCCTCTCGCAGTCCGGGACCCCTTGAGGGTTGTCTGCCTGCAGTGGAGGCGGGAGAGGCTCCCGCCATCACCGCTATGCTCACCAGACGTGAGCCCGGCTTCTGGCCGAGCGGCACTCCCCTGTGGGAGCACATTGACCACCAGGGAGCAGCTCCTGCATTGAGCGTCTGCCCCCTGGTGGCCAGTGGACATCATAGTGACGGGTCGTTCTGCTGCTCGGTGGATTTGCATATTAGGGTTTTATCATATAGGATACGAAAACAGAACAGGATGGGAGAAAGAATTTTGAGCCTGGCCAGTGTTACTTAGTTGGTTAGGTATCGTCCAGTGAACCAAGAGGTGCCGGTTTGATTCCTGGTCAGGGCACGTGTCTGGGTTGCAGGCTTGATCCCCAATAGAGGACGTGCAGAAGGCAGCCCATCAATGTTTCTCTCTCTCTCCCTCTCCCTTCCTCTCTAAAATCAAATTTAATAAGAGAATTTTGAGAGGGCCATGCTTATTATTTCAATACTATAATACAATAAATTGGCATCATACTGTGTATTTGCAGCACTATAGTCATAGTCACACTTTTAAACCAAATGAACTATGGAAAAGTAGTGTTTCTTGTTTCAGATTTCAGACAATAGAATACTTTAGCTAATGTTAGTTCAAGGAGAGCAAGTATGTCAGTGCCGTCCCTTCCTATTTCCAAGCCAGTGGCAGACATCACTGATCAATCCCAGACTCATCTTCCAAGCTCTTAAGTGGTGACAGCACCCGCCTTAGACCTGTGTTCCAAGCTGCCTGTGAGTTGAAACCTGTCTGTCCTTGGCCTACCTCATTGATATTGAGAAGGAAAGCGCTTCGACCACAAGGAATATTCCAGATAAAACACAGCAGCCGTCTTTCTTTAAAAAGCAAACTACTTCCTGTTCCTTGGAACTCCCCCAACCCCTGCTTTCCAATGTAGGTCACAACTTTAAGTTAGGGAAAGAAGGTATAACTGAAGGTGGTGCAACTGGTCAGGACTCAGGAATACACTTTGCCATGGGCTCCCGAAAGGCTCGGGCCTTCCAACAGAAAGAGGGCGTCTGCCCGACTCTGCCAGGAAGGGACCTGCGAAGGAGGTCCTTCACCCCCATGAGATACTCACCCAAGCCAGCAAGCTGGGATGAGAGGGAAGGTGGGGGTGCCGTGCTCCCCACCATGGGGCTCACCACGGCGGGAGACCCCGGCCCCAGGTCTATTAAGTTGTCCTCGGTCACTTCACTCAGTACCTGTCGGAGCAGGAGGTGCAGTGAGCCCGTGAGCCCTGGGGCCCTGGCTGAGGTTAAGGCTGCAGGCACAGTGTGGTCTCAACGCCGCGCCAATACAGGAGCCAGGGGCCCACTGTGAGCCCTGGCACGGGGAGCCCTGCCCACTGCCCCTCAGGATGTGCCTGCTGGCTCTGCCTCAGCAGCCTGTCAACAGCGTGAGCTGCTCATTTCACCAATATTTACATCCAGGTCAAGGAACAAGTGAGACCGCCCCCCCCCCGCCCCCCCCCCCG